CGAGAGATGATGCGACCTGGGAATTTCTCATAGTATTTCTGTTTGTACGTCCATTTTCGTGATAGTCTTCGATAACTTTAACACCTTGTTTGATTGCTAACCTTTCCATGACTGAAATTGTCAAAGACTTATGTTGTTAAATCTGAGAAAAATAAAAATAAATAATCATTAAACACTTAAATATAATAAACATTTAAAAGTTATTGGAACTCACATTATTAGCGGTTTTCCTAAAAGCAAAATTTCGCATTCATTGACAGGGTAGTCAGTACAGCTTTCGTTTGAAATATATAAATTGCTTCTCTTAAAATGGCTTTTCAGAAAAACAAATTTCTCAAGTCCAGTAATTTTTTCCACTATTGATAAGGGTTTCTTTCCTAACCCTTTGTTATTATTTTCTCTCAAATGATGGAATTTCTATTATTTGGTACAGATCCTTATAGTGAATATGTAGCACCAATCCACAATGTTCAAAGAGGGATGATCTTTGCTAATGGCATCAGATTTCATTAACTCAAAACATTTTTAACCAATGATTTTAGAAATCGGTTGTATGCAGCTGATAGTTTAGATATATGTGAGCGGTTTTAGCTCCATTCATGACATCCGTATAGAAGTTTCGATCTAACGAGGCTATTTAAGCAGAAGGTTTTAGGTTGTTATTTTGATTTTGTAACAATTTGCGTTGTTGAGGGAAAAAATCCTGTCGCAACCTATTCCATGTTCAATTTCTTGTCCATGTTCACCATAGTCTATGAACCCAGATCAGTACTTAATCTGTTCAATGAAACAAAGTTAAAGATTAATACTCTCTATGCTTGACTATATCGCCAATACCACCAGCAGCTGTTCCGTAATTCTTCAGTCTTCGATATCAAAGGCTGGCAGTGCATATTTGGGAAAACACATGGCCGCCTTTATACACGTCGCATTGAATATTTTGAGCATTCTGCTTGGTTAAACCTTCTATTGGTGAACTATGAAATGAGTCAGCTCATTTTGGCTGGCTCACTAGTGCACCAGGGTACCCAAAAATTCCAACACAATTTTCTTTTTTTATTTTAAATTTCTTATAACTTATCATCACCATCACACACATACATACATACAGATCATACGGCAAGCATTCATTGGCTAATCTCAAATCTAGATTGCTGATTGGTCAAATCTGAGCACTCAAATCGCCTGCACGCGAGGAATAATTTTCCTGCGCACAAAGCTGGAGCCGATCACGGGAAACACCACCTTATATAAACAAAACATGAGTAAGCCTTCTCTTTCCATTTTCTCTTTTGTCTCCTTCCTTGCTGCCAAGATGTAATCTGCAAGGGCTCTCTTGCCGTCAGACTTTAAAGAACATTACCAACATCTACGCAAGTACGAACTCTTAACTCTTCTGAAATCTACCAACATTCCCAACTCACATTTGCTAACATGAAACAGGAACTTTATTCTTCTAAAACTACAGTTTAATAATCAATTCAACTCCGTGAGCTCTGATACAAATATTTCCCAAACCTAAGTGGCGTAACTCTATCAAAACTCTAGCTTATATGCATGTACATCAAAACAAATAAATTCAAATGTTATGTTTTGAACCATTACGTTCTGTCTTGTATTTTTGCTGAGTGCTACTGTTACGTCAAATATAAATTGTATGCGAGCGTCACAAGTGATGGTGACCTCTAGCGTCTTTGCTTCACCTTTTCCACGTCATTCCTAATCAAAGTTAAATAAATGCGGTGGCGTCCGCTACATCTGTTAGACAATCCTTCACATTTTTATTGCTGACCCGTCGTTCGTCGCGGATCTCGCTACATGATTGGTGACCCCGCGGATCTCACTACACATGCAACATGTTACTTGAAGTGTTTAATAACTTTACATACGGGTTTCTTATAATAGATTCGAGTTTATGAGATCACGGCCTTTGTTGCAATTCTAGATCATAGGTTCTCTTTTGAAAAGGCTTATCCCGAGTACTATTTCTTGGAACCCTTAATGAAGGAAAAACAAAAATGAAGAAGTGACGATTATGAAGATAGATAAGATAGATAACGATTTACAATAGACTTGAAGGTTTCAATTTTTAATGTTCTATAAAACATCCAGAATAGCAATTTTTGTGGCCTGGAGAAAATGCAATCGGAGACTTATCGTTATAATTGACGTACGAAAGCTATCAAGGTTATTTGGCTTGATGGAAATAGCACAATGTTCCCTTGAACTAATAGGCTGAAGACGTAGAACACTAAAGAATGGATCTCATCTAATCAAATGCCGTGTTAGTAGTATAACGTGTTTTCACAGTAAATACATTTTATTTAATTACATGAAGCATTACTTAGAATTATTAATAATTTTATGTAAATTCTAAATTATTAATTTCTATTTTAATTATTAGTAACTTTATCCCAATATATGTGAGTTGTATTGTAACGTTTTAAAATAGCCGTTAATCTAGAGCTTTGATTAAAAATACAGATGAAATATATAGAAC